TGGTAATAACGCTAACTATTAAAACAATTATTGGAAGAGTTTTTTCTATAATTATTATTTCTTGGCATGGGAATGTGCCCAAACGTTCACCGTGACGTACGCCACTTACGTCTCTATTTTGCTATGGCTCGCCCTGTCTAAATGAACTTCATAACTCATCTCCGAAGAGTTTGATTCCCTTTGACCATGAACTAGTTTCAGGCGGAACAGCCTGCAACACTTAGTAATTTTCAGTGAATCGTTTTTCGCCCAGAACTCTCGCTTTCTCCTAATTTCCGTTCGACATCCATTCCCACGCTCGTGAAGGGATTTGAAGTTAATAATCAAGTTTTAGTCATGTGAACTACGAAATCAAGGCAGCTAGAAAAACATAACAGAAAAACAAAAACATAAACATAACGCCTCAATGAACCATCTTCATCTGTGGGAAATTTACAAATTACGCTTCGTGTACTGTACGCTGCAATTGAAACATGATGCCCGTGGAAATGATTAGCTTGAAGAGCAGTCTCGCTGCACCGGCAGAGAACATTGTTGATTCGTGAACTATTGAACAGGCCATGAATTCAGGTGAGACTGTCTTGTAGCTCAAACCACATGTATGAGGAACTTTGCTCAGCTATTCAATGTCATTTTTTGCGATAATTATGTTCTTGTGCCGAGGTTTATTGGGTGAAACCAGTTCGTCAGGTCAAACAGCCTGTTGCGACACAACAGGGGTCTCTAGAGGTTCGGGATCCACCGCTCATGCGAAGAAAATCCGCTATCTCCATAGAAGACTGTCAGTAGCGAATCAATTTAACTTCATGATTACCATAATCATAGTGCTTGGAAGTCAACCTTCTCAACAGTAAACGTAATTTTTGTGCGTGGTTCGTTTACAAGTAGCTATTCCCGTCCCAAACAATTTCTGGCCGCTTGTAACTTGCTTAGAAAATTGAGACAGTCGATGAAGTCTCTTTCTGCTTCAGTCTCCTAAGCAAGCTACATATTAGGAGAGATCAGTTTTTCTGTTTTGCCTGCGCATTCAACAGAAGTTATGTGAGGTTTTGAGACCTTCGTCTATTTAGTAAAGTACTACGAGGCCGAAACTACTTTAACTATCACAGAAACTCTAACCCAGAAACCACTTTTCAACAGCATTGTTCCTTCAGCAGCATCGTTCATCTCAACAGCTTCTTAGAATGAATATTAATGAATAATTGATAGGCCTAATAGAGCTAATGCGAAATTTCGAGGTTTTATCAACACCCATTGTGAAGAAGCTAAACAATGTCTGGAATGGCTGGAAACACATGGACCATATGAACAGATCCAAACGGAACGATTTATTACAGCTAAGATGCTGGGATGGCCGTCAAAGACGATGAAAGACCAAGTAGATTTCTTTTATAGGGTTGCTACTAATCAAAATTTCTGGACATAGTGAATATTGAAATTATTCAAAGTCAAAAATAGTTGAAGAATTTCAGCAACGTAAGTAAATAAGTTACAGTTATAATGCAGCAAAGTTATAAATAGGAGGAAGCGAGCAGTACGCACTCAGCCTGCTATTACTCCAGTTCGGGAGCTTGAACTCTTGCCCTAAGCTCTAATGCTCCTTGATTGTTCGAAAGTAATTGCAATATCGGAAAGTTTCTAATTGTTTTCTTCTGGGTAACAAAACTTACTCACTGATACGGATACCCCTTTTTTCGATAATTTTTCCCCGTTCATTGATAATTTGATAGCTCCTCTATAGGCTCCTGCTTTTTTCAACGAAAATGGAGCAGAAATGGCAACTCAGTCTTTACTTTGCACAATCTTACTAATTGTTACATCTACACATTGTCCCGATAATAGGAGATAATCTGCAGCCACTGAGTAATTTGTCATTATCACACTGGCGTTACTAGGAAAAGAAGTTGGAGAACCCAAGACAACGCCTGAATTCTGGAGGATGAGTTGTATACAGTGGCGTGGCCTAGGATAGAGGGGGTTTGCTCTGTGGAATGTGGATTACTAATGCTGCTCGTGTACAAATTTTACTTTTTTTGAGCGGTAGATTACTTTGTGTATATTTACCATTAACTCTTTTAACAACAATGCATGGTACGAGGGAGGCGTGAAGTCTGGAGTGCATGAATTCGAGGCAGTCGAGAAAGCATATCTTCTAAAAAAGTACTTTTACAAGGTTGGCGATTTACGGACAAAACTCCAGCCTCGGATGGGTCTCGAACCCGTACTTGGGCTTTCCGGGCTCGTGTTCTATCCCTTACACTATGCTGATATTGGCCGACCGGCTCAACACGTTGTACGTGTGAGTGCTGATAAGCTATGCCATATAAGCCTTTAAGAAGGCGAGGGGGAGCGGGGTCTCGGCAGTGTAAGGAATGAAGCACGGTGCCCGCATAGCACACGTACGGGTTCGAGTGCCATCCGAAACTGAAGTTTTGCCCACAAGTCGCCAACCTCGTGGGACTTTCGAAACGCGTACTGCGCAAAATAACAGCAGTTAACAAAACATCAAGTCACAGTAAGTAACTCTTCTTTATCCATTTTCCTTTCTCATTATTTGTGACATCCTATAGTAACAGGCGGTACAGTTTCTCGAAATATGCCGAGGTACTGTGATGTACATGGACAAGTAGTGCTTCCAGATAATGACGCAAAGCGTAGGATAGAGGAAGGTGCGGAAAACGTAATGAAAGAAAAAAGAAGATGATGTTGTTTGCTTGCACCGTTCAAATGTCGTCGTTATGCTCAATTATGCATTACCATTTGGCCTCCGCACACAAATGCGTGCGTCAACAAAGAACGCATCTGACGGAGTTACGGTTTTTCTAACTTGAATTCCTCCCCTTCCGGAGCGCGGTTATAGATTTGGTTGATTGTGATCATGAGCTCATGCAGAAAGCACCGCCTACTATGAGAGCGCCACGCCCATCGCGGATGAGTCTTCTTCGTCTAATATGGCAACCTATTTTTGACTTTTTCCCACTTTTTTCCGGCGTTTTGGCTGTTGCAAAACCGAAGTGTAAAGTTTCCCTATGCCATTGCCCAGTCCAGTGCATGCACCGCCTCCGGTGAGCTGGGCTCCCCTGTGCTCATATGTACTCTGTCGATCTTGCCCTAGTCCGCACCCATAGCAAATTTGATCTTTGACTGCTCCTTCTGGTATATCGGATTTTGTGACAGACAGTCAAGCGCGAGCACGTTATTTTTTGTTCATAAAAAGTGCTAATTTAGTGCTCTTATTTGTACGTCGTTCACGACTCATTTTGTGTGTTTTTTATATGTCGCTCACGACTATTTCTGGGTGTTTTTTGTATGTCGTTCGCGAAGGCGCTATGAGGAGTGTGAAATACCACGTGGGTGCGCTGAGGAAGTTGTGAAGTAACGTCCATAGTACGATTTACATTGATCCTCTAAGCATTGCAGATCATTTTGTGACATCATTGACTGGAAATCATAGCTACACTCCTATTTGCCCAAAATGGAAGTTACTCGGTTCATTTTTATCACAGGGTGACCAACTTCCAGAAAGGAGAGAAGGTGGGATGGGAAAACTGCTGCATCTCCAACAATTGGCATAATCAACTATGCTGACTATTTACATGTCTGATGCACAATTTCCTATAACTAAATTCAACCGGAATTTTTCGAATGATAGGTACGCATTCAAAAAAAANAAAAAAAAGCCTTATACTCAAGCACTTCGCCCTTGATGTGGAATTTCAATATGAGGGACCTTGTGTGAAGTCATTGTGAATAAAAACGATAAAGAGTTTAAAACCTAGGGCTACATTATCACGTGAGCAGTAACGAGACTGACGCACCCAAGGCTGCAGCTCTGAAGCATGTTTGTAGAGCCATGTTGAACGCTTGGCCAGGATTTATAGCTCACAGAATTTACCATGAACTGTCACAAGTAACAGTGCACCAACCTTACTACTTAGAAGAAGAATTCTGCCTTCCTCGGTAACTAAGCCGCACTTGAAATTCACACATCACCATCAGACTCGTTTACGAGATATCCCCATAGGTCGAGTTTGGCTACCACGAAGCAAGTGATACGAAATAACGAAAAACAGCTCAGAGGAGCGTCATAAGGGGCCTAGGAGATGCACCGTTTGTATGCCACACTGATGCTAAAAAATCTGGCGGCGTCGCCGCTGTGGGACCACAATACCGTAACCCGCGCTCATATGCTCAGTTGCACTTGGCCTAAATTTTGTTAAATATATTATTATTTTGTGTTTTCCTTTGTTTCAGTTCAGTCCCGTCTAGGTGACGTCCAGCTCGCAACACAGAATTTTCGATAAATTGTTTGATTCCCTTCTGTGTCCCAAATGTAATATTGAGAAGTACTTCAAATCATCTTTCTCAGGTTTATTTTCGAATTCTACAAATGATTGTTTTGTGAAGTTACATGTTCAAATCCGATATGAATAGCATTGCACACTGTTTTTCATGTCATCGGAAATACTCATTATATTTCAGCCGCATGCCAAAATGTCAGCTAGCTAGTGCTTTTGATAATATTATCCTGCTTTTGACAATATTATCAGGGGATAGTCTGGATGACCAGATTCGCAATCTATCTGCACAGAGAAAGCAAAATATTTTGGAATAGGTCCACGGCACAGTAGAAATAGGTAGAGAAAAAGCTAAGCTGTCAATTGGTCAAGCTAGGCATTCGATTTTTGAGGAATAACTCCGGGAGAATAGCCCAAAGTTTTGCCAATTACATNAGCTAGTGCTCTTGATAATATTATCCTGCTTTTGACAATATTATCAGGGGATAGTCTGGATGACCAGATTCGCAATCTATCTGCACAGAGAAAGCAAAATATTTTGGAATAGGTCCACGGCACAGTAGAAATAGGTAGAGAAAAAGCTAAGCTGTCAATTGGTCAAGCTAGGCATTCGATTTTTGAGGAATAACTCCGGGAGAATTGCCCAAAGTTTTGCCAATTACATGTTATAATAGCAGCTTGATGTAAACTTTGACAGCAGAAATGGGCTGCGAAATCAATGAGGGTTCGGCTAAAGTGAGGGCCATGAATGAAGAGCTGCTTAGTCTCAGAAGTCTGAAAAGCCAATTGCAGAGTCAAGTGGACGAATTGATGACGAAGCTGGCCACCTCGTTCGGAGACGCTCCATAGCCACGGAAGCACATGGTGAGGAAAACACTGGCGTAGGTTGGTCTGCTGTCAGCCAGCAGCCTTGTCATTGAATAATGGCAATAAACCCAATGTTCAGAGCCGCCAGTCCGCGTGCCAAGAAACGAAAGATGGGCGACCGAAACTCCCGAGGTCAATCTACAGCGGACGGTCAAGTCCATCTTATCTACTGTCTACCAGCGAATCGACAGTCGGTGAGTCGAGCTCCATTTTGCAAAACTCCGTAAGGGAGGGAAAGTCAGATACCCATTATTCCATGCAATGAACGGAATGTTCAGCGTTTTTGAAGAAGTCTTTAAAGCGCAAAGCGTGGCCGAGGCGCATAATTATGACGGGAAGACCTCACCGAGTGACTTTTCACGGCAGTAGAAATGAAGTATCCCTAAACAGTCTGGTCGGATAGCGATAGACGGGATATGCTGGTGAATAACCTAATAGGAATGGCTCGGTCCGTCTATAATGGGTTACCAGAGTGTGTAAAGAAGGGTTGTTTTGCTGGAATAGTGGAAGCACTCAAAGAAGCCCGACGTAATCCTTGCGAAAAGTTAAGAATCGTTGATGAGTGGGACAAACTCAAGAAGAGGAGTGGTGAATCGGTAGCAGATTTTTGCTGACGGATGGAGACTACCTCTAGGAAAATCCACCCGAGTAACGAATGGAATTTCCATTTAGCCTCTAAATTGTACTTCTGCCTACAGCATTGGAAGGACTCGTACCATATGCTAGCCGCTCTAGAAGGGCACAACGGGGAGACTTACGAAGCCGTCAAAAGGGTTGCATTGAGGCTTGAAAAGACCCAAACGGCGAAGCCCTATAGGGTAGAAAATTTTGACAAGTTGGACAACACTAGGGGAAAGATTAGCGCCCAAAAAGCGACATCCTCCAGCTATGATGATAAGGGCACCCGAAAGTGCTATAACTGCGGGGAGAAAGGTCATTATAGTGCCTCCTGTCCGGATAAATCCCCATTTAAAATCCCATACCTGGTGAAAAAGGTCATGGATCAATGGAAAAGGATAACGTAGATGGACATGCTCCTAAGAGATACTCTCTACATTTGTAGAGTAGTGGTGTGGGTTGGTCCGTATCTGTAAGTCAGCTTTAGATTCAACCACAGTAGCGGTGGGGAAACCGATGTTGTACGATGCAGAGATCTTTGGGCCCACGGCTAAAGCGTTGATAGATACTGGGTCAGTAATATCCATACTACCAGTTAGTCTGCTCAAGCAAGACAAGGTGCAAGGCTTTGACATTGACAAAGAGGTTGAAATGGTAGGTCATGGAAGCGAGCATAAGGTTTTCGATTGTATCTAGCTCACTTGGTTTCCTAAAGCATACGGTGTTGCTTTAGGAAACTAAGTGAGCTTTCTTGCAATTGTAAACGCGAAAGTAAGCGTCCAAGTTACCATGCATGTCCAGAACAGCAAGGAAAGTACACTGCTTCTAGGAACTAATCCCTTTATTGCTTCAAGGAACTAATCCCTTTAATGCTTCTAGGAACTAATCTCCAGACCTGGGTAGCTAATAAGGGTCAGCCACTCGGAGAGTGGTCAGACTCTTGTTCTATCAGGTCTCCCAAGCCTACAGACATGACAGGCGGTATGCTTGACATGGAAAAACATGTTGTCCTGCCAAAGTCAAAACGGGTGAAAGTTTTGATCGATTTGATACAACAAAATCATGGTCCAGAAAAACTGCCGAAAGAGTTGGTGGAGATTCTTAAAAAGTTTAATGAAACGTTCGCAATAAGCGATTTTGAACTTGGGCAAACCAGCTTGGTAGAGCATGATATTGATGTACAGGGACACATACCTATCCGTCAAAAGACGAGACTTGTACCATACGGTGTGAGGAAGCAAGTAGATGGTATGCTTTTAGATCTAAAGAATCGGAGAATCATTGAGGAGAGCCAATCATCCTGGACCTCTCCTATAGTGCTGGTAGCAGTGAAAGATGGTAGTACACGGTTGTGTAATGACTATAGAGAGGTGAACAAAGTAACTAAGAAAGATTGTTACCCTTTACCACCAATCGATATAACCCTTCAGAACCTGCAAGGAATGAGATGGTTTTCATCTCTCGATTTGGCTAGTGGTTACTGGCAGGTACCGCTCACAGAAAGAGCAAAGGAAATAAGCGCTTTTACAACAACTTGCTGTTGAGTTAGTCCACGTCGAAGGTTGTCGCGCGAAAATGCCCACGGTTCAACTCCACAACTTGGCCGGAACAAAATCTTATAACTTAGTGTAAACAACACAAATCGCGCTCAAATTTTGCAACGGAACCTAAAAATAGTCAAACTTTACGATAGTGTTGTCAGTTGCTAGATTGCTGCACTAGTGTTTCCAAATCCCGAAATATAAAAGGCAGCCCTCGTATCACAAGTTTATCTTGAGGTACGCCGAAATTGCTAAGCCCTTATACGAGCTGACTAGTCCCAAGACCAAATTCAAGTGGTTAGATGAACAGGACAAAGCATTTGAGAAATTAAAGGACGCATTATCAAGCGCTCCTGTATTAGGGCAACCTAACATTGAAAAGGCATTGGACAAAAGCCGACCCTTTATTATATATACTGATGCCAGCAGGATTGGTGTTGGAGCGGTACTAGCTCAGGAAGGAGATGACGGATTCTTACATCCACTTTTCTTCGCTTCTAAATCCCTTTCTTCTGCGGAGCGCAATTATCACGTGACAGATCAGGAAGCCTTAGCACTAGTTTATAGTATTAGGTCGTGAAGAAAGTTCTTGTGGTTTTGCGCCTCAAACTTCAAATGCATATATCTCGGCTTGAACGAAACTTCATCAATCGAAATAACAACCATTAC